TCAACGTTAATTGACCTACGTTGTCTTGTCACAGAGTTTTGATTTCAGAGTATCCAACGCCATCCCCCCCTTTCTCTCTCTCTCTCTCCCCTCTTTGGTCGCTTGGATCGGTTCAAAGTAGGTAGATCTTGTGATGTAATGACATGAAAAATTTAGATGGTTGCTTGCTCCTTTGGTTAGCCAAGCCAGAATGAAGAAGGCCACATTTATCACAATGGTCACTTGATGACCATTTTAATGTGTTTGCTTGCCCGTTCAGAAAGGGGCTGATTCTGGAGTAATAGCTCCCCGTGAAAAAAAAAAACTCACTAGTCAGATTTGGTATGGCAGAGGTCTAGCAATCATTATATAATAAAATAAAGCATCAACTGGGAATAAGTGTAAAGTTGTAGAACATGGCAAATAGGCAATTCAACCTTTTCTTTTTTCCTCTTTTGTTTTCTTCCCTTAATTTATGGGCATCTTAAGCAGAAACAGAATATAACAAAATGGAGCTTAAGAAAGGTGTTGTTAGCTTAAGTATTCACCACATGAGAACAAAAAGGGTTGTTAGCCAAAGCCTTTTTCACTTCAACACACAATTTAGAGAAAGTTCCGTACGCACTGGTGGAAATTGCCAAATTGGTCTGCATCAAGAATCAGAATTGGGCCTCTATTTTGTATCTAATAAGTAAGAAAAAGAATTGGGTTTTCATCCTATTTTCAGGTCCATGAAAACGGCAAAAAGCCCATGTAGGGAGCAACAGGGGACATACGAAACATCGTCTAATCAAATGAAAACAAAAGCAAATCGAACATAACGACATTCGGATTCCCCCACAAGAGAGCAAATAACAAAAGAGAAAATAGAGAGGGAAAAGTTAACAGCTTTTTATAAAGAAGAAGAACAAGAGGAAAGGATGGTTTGGATGGTGAATCAACAGGTAACAAGAGGAAGGAGATGTCGAATATGGGGAGTTGCACTGCTGTGTTGGCTTTTCTTCATGTTGTTTACTCCTAAGATCCCCGTTTCTTATCGGCACCATCTCTTCGCTGACATGCGCAATTTCCTCGGTATCCCCTTTCAGTGCAAGCTTTTATTTTTCTCTCTCTTATGTTACATCATTTCATCACGTGCATATGCCGTGACTTTTGCTATGTGGGCGTTCTGTGTTTTATCTATAGGAGTTCCTAACACGTTGAATGTGATCACCAATTTCCCTTTTCTGATTGTGGGTGTTCTGGGATTTGTTCTTTCCCTGGGAGGAGGAAGCTTTTTCAACATAAGGTCTATTTTTCTTTTCCTTCTTATTTCATTGATCTCTTCAATTTAAAAAAGTTACATTTTTGTGATCATTCGATGAATAACTGATGTTTTCGGGCATGGATTGCAGTTTGAGAGGAGAGGTGTGGGGTTGGTCGCTATTCTACGGAGGGATAGCTAGTGTGGCTTTTGGTTCTGCTTACTATCATCTTAAGCCTGATGACAATAGAGTAATGTGGGACACCTTGCCGGTTAGCATTGCAAGTTTACTTTTTTAATTATTTATGTTTTTAATTTTCAGTTTTAGATTTTTTTTATATGATTTTCTATGTTTGATTTTCTTGGGAAAATGATATTGGAGTTAACAGCATTTTCTCAGTGGTGACAGTTAACAGTTCTCTTAGAAAGTAGAAATGGAATGCCCTTCACTCAACTATTGTGCCTAACACAGCTATTTGCCGTAGTTGAAATGATGAACTTTGACACTGTTGTTTTATTCTTCTGACTTTTCTTTCATTTGCCAATAACCAAATAGTTGAATTTCACTGCTTTGTTGCTTTTGCTGTGTTTTTGTTATTTTTTAAAGCAAAAGAATCAGAAATTGCAGATGACTTTCATTGCAACTTTGTCAATAACCGAGCGTCATTTGAAATTTTACTACTTTATTACTGTTGAATGTATTCTACTGTTAATATGTATTGTATTTTTAATTCAATTCAAAAATTGCAGATGATGATTGCATATTCCTCACTATTCTCTAGTTTTATTCTTGAAAGACTAGGAGAGAGGATTGGATTAAGTTGCCTGTTTTCACTATTAGTTCTTGCTGTTCTAAGCACAAGTTATGCAAGGTTTGGTTCTTGTTCCAAATTTCTGTTTATCTGTTTGTTTAATTGGTTGAAGCTTGTTATTCAAATTTCAATTTGTTTTGGCTGAATATGACTTGCTAGTTGGTTGCAGAACATTTAATGATCTTCGGTTGTGCATGACATTCCAGTTAATTCCATGCTTAGCTATTCCAATCATGACATTTTTGTTCCCACCTAAATATACGCACTCCAGATACTGGCTTTGGACATCGGGTATGTCCTATGTCTTCTCTTTCTCTCTCTTGATCCATTTTATTTATTTTGGAAAGACACATTCAAGTTCCTATTCCACGATGGTCCTTTAGTGTATTAGCAACTGTGCAAATCAAGTGGAAGGGGTAATAAACTAAAGACCAACTTATGTGATGAGGGAATCTATGAAGGCATTGGGGTTTGCTCTGTGGCTTATCTGAAGTGTAGTCCAATTTGGGCTCTGGAC